GCCCCGCAGGTGCTGCAGCTGAAGGGCTTCTCCCCGCTGTGGGTGCGCATGTGCGCCTTGAGGTGGCCGTTAAGACTGAAGGCCGCCCTGCAGGTGCTGCAGCTGTAGGGCTTCTCCCCGCTGTGGGTGTGAACCGCGAGGCAGCTGGGCACGGTGTGGAGCGCGCGCTCGGGGTCGTTGGCGGCGACCTGGAAGCGTTAAAGGAAAGGTCGTGCACTTGATGTGGTATACACCATCGTAAGCAGTACGCCCGGGGGAACATACCTCGGTGTCCGCGACGACGAGCAGTGGGCCGTGTTCCGGGCAGTCGCCCTCCCATTCCTGATCGCAGTCGTCGCAGACTGCAACACGCCAAGTGCAAAACGTCAATCTCTAAACCTGGCGCCTGGCCGGACCCGCATGATTTACAGAGCAAGCGCGGTTTGTTTCTAGTCTACTTCGATGATTACTCACACAGAAAGTCATCGTCGTCGGGCACATCCGTGTAGGTCCTGCGGCTGCCGTCGCGTTTAGGGTAGCGCGAAGTTTGCGTCTCGGAGGCCACTGGCTGGGTTTGGCTCTCTCTGAGCGTGGAGGTGCTGCTCTTCCTGCCTGCCCTGGTGACCCTTAGGATAAGCAGATGATATTTTATCAAGAGACTCAAATCGACGGGGGAATTGGGGGGGTAGAGTGGCGGAGGTGGACAGCACTAACCTCTGTACTGCTGAGGCAGCTGAGGTTGACTCTGGTTCGGGCTGTGAGTTACGGTGCGCCTTAACCTTATCTCTAGAGGGAGACCAGTTCAAGTCGTCATCGTTGTTGCCCAGCTGTTCGTCTTCGACTTTGCGTTTCTTCGTCTTTTCCCGGCTCAAACCCTCGGCATTCGGCTTAGATTTTGTTGACTGACGCTTAGGGAGCTTGAGTTTCCGAGTCATGAAAGCGGGCTTTAGTGGGGTCAAACCTACGAAAGCGGATGAAATGATTGTTCGGTAACAACCACACGACAAAAAATATCTAAGATCAATTTAATAAAGCACATTTTCATGCTCATTGCCTCAACGACGCTAATGGAGTACAGCCATCCTTAACCTCAAAGGTGGTGCGTTGCTGGGGTTAACATGGTTAGCTTAACCTTAAAATCTTACCGCATCGCTGCATGTGATGATAGTTTCTTTTGGCATTTCGGTAGCTCATCTTCTCATAACCCTTCATCTCCCTCCATTCGCACGCGGGGAAATATTCCTTAAGGTCTTCAAACTCACTTTCTGAATCGCTCGGCATTATGACAGGAGACGAAGATCATTCACTGAACCAGGAAATGAATCAACGAACTGCCGTTTGCGTTTGAGTCGCCCAGCAGGCACCGCTCCGCAAACCGCCGCGGGAGTACGTTCAGAAAGTGACCGTGCGGCCACCGAGTCCATGTTTCAAATCCGACCTCAACTTTGCGGGTACTTGTTCGGTACATATTGTTAAAATATGGAATATAGTTTAATGTGAAAAGTTAGAAGACATTTGTGATGCCCATAAGTGGTTTATTAAATGCACAAATTGATATTTGGTATTTCTGAATCGCTCGACATTATGAGCACCAGACGAAACGAGTGAACTGACCACTCTCGAACTCCCATGTGGCTTCGCCTAGTAGGTAGGCAATATCTTGTATGCAGTGCATCAGTGTGTGTACCACGGGCGTGGCCTACCCGGAGTCTTGCAGGCGCTCACCATCTGGCTGAATGAATCTGAGAAACACCTTTCTCGATGATCCCTTTTAGTTGATAAAATATTTCCATGCAAAATCAGACCCACGTGTTTACTTTTCCTTTCCACTCACCCTGGTTGTCACACCCACAGGACGTCCTCGGCGACGCCCAGCTCCAGCCGGACGACGAGCCACTCGGACCCGGCGGCGCGCTCCTGCAGCAGCAGCTGCTCCGACTGCGATGACGACCCGGAGGACGGCGCGGCCAGCGGGGCCGCCAGCGGGGCCGCCAGCGGCGCCAGCGGGGCGAGCCGCCGGCAGCGGCAGCTGGAGGAGCTGTGCTGCGAGTTCCTGCTGCGCCACCGCATCAACCCGGAGCTCTTGTGCGCCTACCGGAGGGACCGACGACGGGGTGAGTGTGTGGTCATTCTCTAAACTGTCTTTTTCCGGGATTGCAACCCCTTGACATGTATGCTCGTTTGAACGGAAATTTAACGAGGAATCCGAGGGTGTCGTCGAAAATAAAGTTCGCCAACTTGCATAATCAATATTTCGAAAAATATGACTAAGAAGAACACGCGTCATCCTTTTGTGACACCGCGTTTCCAGTGTGTTGTTGATGTTGATCGCCGCGGCGACACACAACCCGTGCTCGCGCCCGTCACGCTCGCCTCACTGCAAGCACGGCCTCGTCGTCCCCCAACACCAGCGAGTGTGCGATTCTCACCATCCGCGGCCGTGCGGCGCCGTGCGCTCTGGCGGCGCTCACTCGCTCATGCCCGACCAGCAGTGGCCACCCACTGACCGGCCCGGCCGCCGGCCGCCGGCCCCCTGACGCGGCTCATGGCGCGAGCTGAGCTGCAGCGAGCGATAGGAGGCAATTAACAGGCGCAACGATGCGCATTTGTCTTGGCGATGCCGCCCCGTGATGCCATTCACTGTAAGTGGGTTGGCGTCTTTTGACGCCAAAATATTGGCGTCCTCCATAGAACGCCAAATTTTGGCGTCATAAGACGCCAATTCTTGGCGTCCAGTAAATGAACGCCAATATTTGGCGTCTTTTGACGCCAATATTTGGCGTCTTTTTGGATTTGGCGTCTTAGGACGCCAAAATTTGGCGTCATAAGACGCCAAGATTTGGTGTCATAAGACGCCAATATTTTGGCGTCATAAAACGCCAACCCATTTAGAGTGTTAAAATAATGCAGATTTCGTATTCGCCAGTGCGGTGCGGTTCGTTTAGAAAGTGGCAAACCCATACCGTGTGTCAAAGCCAAAATAAACTGCAGCAGTGCGCGGCTTTTGCCGACCAAATTAAAACCTCTGCTTAACTCTAGTCCTTCAAAACGGACCAGAGTTGACCACAGAAAAGGTACCACCGGCATGAGCGAGAGTTTGGTGCGCGCAAGCGGTCCTCACCTCTCACCTCCGGCCTCCTCTGGTGAGCGGGGCGACAAACGAGTCAACTTTCCTGTGCGGAGAGTGTCGCGCAGTGCCACGCGAGTGCCGCATGCGGTAGTGTCGCAACACCTCGGCCCGCCCCGCCACTCCTTACCTCGACACTTTATGCCACTAGACACTGCCTGCCTGTTGTTGTTGTTGCTGAGTTGCTGGCCGGGCCACACGGGGGAAAGCAATACTGGTCTCAAGGAGTGTGCTATCCAAGTAGTGCTCGCCAGTGAAATTGTCTCCACTACTTTCATGCCGCTGCGGCACCATGAGCGAAGGAATCCCGTTCCGCCTTGCTGAACGCGGGCCTCCTTGCACCAAAGAAACGCTCTGGACATAACCTCACGTGTGTGTGTGTGTGTGTGTGTGTGTGTGTGTGT